GTGGACAACGGCTTCTCCAGCCGCTCCGGCACGTGGCGTGCCCGGTGACCTTCGTGCAGTCACCTCCCATGGAAGCCCTCGTAGGGCATCCCAACCGTCGGCTACCCAACGGTCACAGTCCGCCAGTCTGCGGACTCCAGTGCCTCTCTTGACACCATCTGCTGCGATCACCAAAAGTGATCCGGTACGACCATGGTGGCCGATGTACCGGCCTTCCTTAAGATGTCGTACTCCTTCTCCTACCTCACGGTAGTACAACTTCTCGCCTATAGCGATCGCTGGCTTTCGCCAGTTCTTACCACAACGCCTATGTGCAGGCGTGCGGCCGTCCGGTCCTTTGCGGTACCGGCACATCAGGTCTGCCGCATGTCGCGGAAGCCATGCCAGGACGGGGTCGTCCTCACGTAGAACCTTGCCGATCATCTCTTCTAAAGAAGACCTCAAGACTCTTACCTGCCTCTTGACCTCACGGACTGCATTTTCCGCAAGTCCGTTGCTCCGGTGGTCACCACATCTTCCACTCCAGCCCCACGGGCTGCCTGCTCCTTAAGAGCAACAATCGAATGCTCACCATCACTCATCATAACCGCTCTCCGATAGCCTAAGTGCTTCAGAAAGTTGGCAAAGAACTTCACGGCATAGGGTGTAGGACCCTTTGCATCCACAAAAGTGGCTGCCACGGACAACGTCCGGCTGTCTTTGATCACCAAGATAGGCTTGGCTCTTCCATCTTCCTTGCCATCTGTAGTCATGAAGGTGTAGTCGCTCGCGATGATGGGTAAACCGTCATCTCTCTTACTCTCCTCATCTCGAGACCTGTGTTGCTGACCCGCCGGCACCAAGTCCTGTACTGAACATGGCCTGTGGACTCATGCTCGTCCACCTCCGCCCTTGTCGGGTTCGCTGGTGCGTGCACCAACGCAGGCGGTGCAATCTCCTCACTCTCCTCTTCTCTCTCAGGAACACCCTCAGGTCGGCCCTCAGGTGCTCCCATGTCCTCATCTCCTCGTCCGGCGGGCACGGCATCGTCTGCCGCTGCCATGGCTTGGGCCGGACTTACACCACTGTGGGCTGCCGCCCAAAACCCTGAGTAGGTGTCTGCGCCTTCAGGTAGAAGTTGTAGACACCTTTCTCCTGGTACACCGGAATCCATGCCTTCGCATGGTGCTTGTTCTTCTCCTTCTCAATGAGCTCCAAGATCTTGCCAGAAACCTTAGAGTCCTGCGGGATCAGATTCCCGCCATGCTCATCTAGCACCGCAACTCTGCCGTGCTTCAAGCATTTGTAGGCCGAGACCAAGGGTTTGTGACCGGAGCCAACGGGCCTGTGACACTACAGCAGTGCCCAAACTCTCCAGTTCCTTTGAACACACCCGTACCAGTCCCACGGACCAGCTCACCTGAGGCCGTCTTGAACATAACCTCAGTTCCTTCCTTGACCGGCACTTTGTCTGCCCATTGCAGTCTGGGCTGCACCGGTGAAGCGGACCCATTCCATAGCCTGGAGATCCTCTCCAGCTGTAAGTGCACCCAGTTCAAACATACCCACATCGAGCTCTCCTTCGGGTTGTTCTTCTTCATGGGCTCCCTCACCTGTCTCTTCTTCTAGTGAGTTCGCTCCCTTGTGCTTCCCCTTGCTCTTGCCTTTCTTTCCGCCTGCTTTTGAGCCTTTGCTTGAGCCTTTGTTTGAGCCATCCTTCTTTTTACTCCAGCACTCCGCAACTTTATGCCCGGCTTTACCGCAGTTAAAGCAAACTATGTCCTTGGAAGTTGAACCTTTTCCCCCGCTGCCCTTGTCTTTACCTTTGCCCTTACTCTCGCCCTTTCCACCGGATCCCTTGCCTTTGACCAAGCTGTTGATGACCTTTGTGAGGCTGTCCACGTCCATAGGCGCCGGACCACTGTCCGATGAGGATGCTGCGCCAGGGCGTGAAATCGGTGCCTTACTTCCCAAAGAGGATTCAATCACTAGGTCAATTTCTGATTTCATCTGTGCGTAGGTTGCGAGGCGTCCTTTGTTCAACAAAAGGTGGCGTTCAATGTCTGAGGGTTTAGGGTACAAGCAACTCCAAGCTGGTCGCCTTTATGTCTTCTGACAGGCGTTCTCGCTCACCAGCTTCATTCTTGCGATTTTCATATCGCCTGAAAAGGTCTTCGAGTTGCTCTATCGCAGCCCTCACATTTTCCCACCGTTTCACACGTTCTGGGTTCAATATCGCCCGGAGTATGTTTCTCTTCCGTCCGGCGGTTAAGGGATCCCACCGGCGGTGGATTCTTCTCCACGCTTCGAACCCATTAGAACAGCCTATCACCAAGTCCTCAGTCTCTCCATGGGTTAAGGAAGAAAGCAAACGAAACAATTGGTCCCCTATGTCTGGTAAACCGGACACCCCGTCCGGCTCCCCAGGCGCGGCCTCGACTTCGTCCACAGTGATGTCGTCGGGCCCATCCTGATCGAGGCACCAATCCAATACTTTCTCAAACTCCTTCCCAAAGATACTGACAACAAGGTTTGTGACTGAACGCACCCACTTCCGGAACGTATGCTCTTCATTGTTGAACCGTTCCGGCTTACCAATCCCTTTTGTGTCAACCAACAGCTTCCTGGGTTCTTCCCTCTTTGTATTCCTGGCCAACTCTGTCATGCTTTCGGCCAGCCGGGTCAACAGGGCAGTTTGTTCCTGTTGCCTCTGTTGCTGCTCGCGCAACACTCTATTTTCTTCAAGGATCTGCTGCAATTGCGCTTGTATGGCAGCTAATTCTGCCATTGGCCCTTGGCAGACTATACGTCTGCCTCGCTATCCTCAGCGGGCTCTTCCACAAAGATCTCGGACCCCGAAGTGTAGGTTTCCGAGTCTGTGGACTCCTGCTCAGTCGGAAAGCGGACTCCGGACCACTTAGGCTGCGGAGCTCCCGGTGGCTTCTGCTTGGGCTTGAGGAACACCGGTGGGCCTTTGCTGCTTTTGGCCACTTCCTCGGGCTGCTCCTTGGGCTGCAGCTTGGGCTTGGGCTGCAACTTGACCTTTGCTGCAGGCTTTCCGGATGCTGTCTTGGGCACTGGTGGCGGCTTCTTCGCCGCGGGCTTGGGGTTCACTGCAAGGGCCTTTGATGCAGTGGTGACAGCAGCAGGTGCGATAGGCTATTGGGCGCGGTGCCTCTCGTTGCACGAGCTGCAAGCCTTTGCTAGGCTGTCACGGGCCAGCACCTGGGCCCTGATCGCTGCCTCTACGGCAGCTCCGGCTGTGCCCTGAGCCGGTGATTTACTCTCGGCAATTTCCTGAGCGATTGCCGCGTTCCTCAGGCGGTAGTTGCTGGCCAATGCAGACTCCGGGGTGGCTTTGCCTGCACGCACTCTGCGCAGCGCTGCCTCTTGCGTGGCTAGCGCCACACTGATCACGCGGCCTGCAGACTTCGCCGCGGCTGCCACCTCCGGCAGCAATGCAATTGGCTCAGTGCCTGGTGCTGCTGCTTCCTCAGCTGCTGCGGCTGCTTTGGCAGTGGGCTCCTCCTCTTCCTCCGAGGTGCTTCCACTGGTCGGCCTTCTCTTACGCTCCCGCTTTGGCCTTTGCCTTGGACCACCTGGAGGGGTCTTTGGCTGCACGTTCCTGCCAAAGCCTTTGGGGATGGGCACCTCGTAGCCGTACTCTTCCTCGAACTTATCGAGGGCCTCCTGGACTGCAGGCGGGATCGGGCTGTTGCGCTTCAAGTTCAACTTGATCAAGCCCCGCAGGAACCGGTAGGACCTCGCCTCCTTGGACCGGCGTCCGTCCTTCCACTTACCGGCTGAGTTCTCCTGCGCGCGGGGCCAGGGCGCCTTGCTCTTCTTCTTCTTCTTCTTGCCCTTCTTGCCTTTGCCCTTTCCCTTGCCTGCTTCCTCGGGCTTCTCCTCAGCTGCTGCAGGGGCCTCCTCTTCTTCAGCTGCTGCTTCTGCTGCTACTGGTGCTGGTGCTACTGGCAGCCTCCGGATGCGATGAGGACGGGGCTGCCAGGGCGATCAAAGGAGATCGCCAGTTGCCCCAGGCGTCCGAGTCCGACGCTGAGGCCTCTGTGGATCTATCGACGATCCACCCTTTGCGCGCCGGCTTCTTCGGCTCTGGGGGCTTATCCTCTCTCTTCTTTCTCTTCTTTGGTGGCTCCTCCAGCAGCTTAGCTAACATCCTCTCTGTCTCAGCTGCCTGCTGGGCAACGCTCTCCTTGTTGGGGGACCAGTCCGGTCCCGAGGCCAATTCTTCTGGCCCCTCTTCAGCTCCTCCGAGCTGTGGCTCCTCCTCCGGCAGATCAGCTGCCGGCTCAGGCCCGGTCTCCTCCACCGGGGCCTCTTCGGGCAGCTCCTCGGTCTCTGGCACGACCGAAGCGCCCTCCTCGCCTGGCGGCTCTACCGCCGCCGGGCTCCTGCCGCGTCCGCGGCCTCCCCGCCTCCAAGGCGGTACTGATCCTCGCCCTCTGCTGGCGAAGTATTAAATTGAGCGATTAGGTCCCTCTGAACCTTTACTGCTCCCCGCTACCATGAAAATCTGCTTGGCCGCTTCGGAGCGCCTTATTTTCTTGAGCCAAAAGATGTCAGTAGTCTCAACTGTACAACTGTATATGACAACATGCGTATTGGGCTACATATTTCAACACTTGTGGTGAATGTTGGAAAAAAGCAAAGGGGTCTTTTTGCTGAGGCTCGGTACCCTCAGAGATCGGTTTTCAGCCCATCGGGGGCGAAGCTCTAAGGATCGATTTCCCTCTCTTCAGAAAAACCACATGTTCCAGGGTTGTTTGCCCCAACGGGGGTACGTGTTCTCCAAAAAGGGCACACCAAGCAGGTACCCTCGAAAAAGCAATGCCAACCCCTTTTAAAGCCCGAATGAAACCGAAGCCAAATAAGAGTTTCATACAATATGGGTTCTTTCTTGCGGGTACCCCTTTTGGATGGGCTTGGGAAACCAAAATGAAAAACCGAGGCCATTTCGGCGGTCATTGCCTTTTGACACACCCGTGCCCTCGCCAGGCGTCGGAGCCCGGCAGAACGCCTCCCGCAAAGGCGGCGGCAGCCTGGCGCGACTTCCCACAGCTGGGACCGGAGGAGTCCCCGCTCGGGAATCCCAAGCTGTGGCTTCCCATGCGGATCTTCATGATGGAAAGGCGCAACCTACCTGACTGAGACGGCAATTGCCCACACCAAGCCACCTTTGACCCCCCCCTCCCCCCCCCAAACCAAAAACGAAACTGAACCAAGCATGCTCGCGCAGAGTGGCAGCTTTGATTCGGCCTCTGCCCGGGACGGGCCAGCGCTTCCCGAGTGAACTGCCTCAGAGATCTTGGGGGCGACCAGTTCTCTTGCAATGATTTCCGTCTACGCAAGCACAGGCTGTTAGGAATCCACCAGCAGATTGCGATAGAAGTTTGCTGGTTGATTAAGCCTTGTGATGTCATCAGAATATCATACCCATCCTGTGCACCATACTCATCCTGCACCACACCAAACGTTGTGACTAAGCGCCAGCCATCCACGTCGCACCGCTGCCCGCCGGCTGCGGCTGGAACAAATCAAAGACTCTTAGACTGCTAGATGCCTTCACCAGAAAGAACCAAGAGAGGCTCAAAGACCAGTTGGCATTCGAGGAACCTTTTTGCGGTTTGCAGATGTGCTGCTGGAAGGAAGTGTGTTCATGTGGGCAACTGATCTACCATCCGCTTCTCATGAGAGATGGATGGCAGCTTCTCACCTGCCTTCTTCACCGCCTACCTCACCCGTGTCCGAGAGCGCAAACGATTCCCTTCTAACGCCCAAGTTTATCACCTGCATGGAGATTGCGAATATTTGTCCGCCAGCCCGCGTGAGGGTGTTCCCTGTTCAACTTAGCCAAACGACACGCGGCCAGTGCCGCAGCGCGTTTTGCTCCCCCCGCCCGCCCCTTGCGGCTCGCTGGCATCGTCTCTCCCAGCAGTACAGCAGCGGCGCATTCGAGCCCACAGGGATGGCTTCGCAGGGTCTGGCAGAAGGGGCAAAGGCCTTTCCTTTCCACTTAGCATGGACCCTCCTCCAGTGGTGACCTTTTGCCTTTCGGAAGGAGGGTGTCCCTGTAAAATCAACTACCAGGTAACCAGGTAACTACCATGTTTCCCCATCCCTCAAGTCTGGAATCCTCATTTAGGAAGTCCAGTTGGCTAAGCTCAAAGTAAACATAGCAAAAAAATTGGACTCGACTGTCTCAAACCAAGGGCTTTGCTAATTTTTTCACCTGGATATGCGGCGTAACCTGGTCTTGTGTTTAAGCCCTGTCTTTGTTCATAGAAAATATTGGTCGATGATGGTGGATTGAAATATGTTCAACCAGCATCATTTTAGCAAAGGGCAGCCATGCAAGGAACTCCCAAGCGTCCAGCCAGTTGACCCCTTTTTAGGAAGTAGACCCGGTTTGAGGGGCTCCAGGCTTTTACAGGCGAGCGCAAACCAAACTGGGAAGGGGCAGTGGCTGGTGTTGGGTGCGCACTGCTGAGACATATGTTCAGATTCTGGAGTTTGGACATACGCCTCGGGTGAAACTGCAGCAGCGAGTAGTCGCGCTTTGTGCACAGGAAAACAGGGTGCTTTCCAGATCATCCAACTTTGCATCAGCACTCGTACTCGTGCAGGCAGCTTTGTTGGTCTTAGATTGTGGATGGAACCGGTGGAAACAAAGTCGGCTCTTCTGCGTTTCCACCCAAAGACCTCTCGAGTCCAGCCTCCTGCAAGGCGCGCCACAGGGTGTTGAAGCCGTCGGACAAGGTCATGGTCTCGTGCAGCGGCCCCTCTGCCCTCCAACTGGGAAACTTCCAAGAGATCCTGGCGAGAAAGCTCCAGCCACGGCGGGTCTTGAATGGAAAGTTGACACCAGCCCAAGTTTTGCAGCGAGTGACTCGTGATGTTTGAACCAGGACTCAATCAAGGGTCCCTGGCTTTCGAACAAAACAGACATCCAGTCACACTGTGTGTGTGTGTGTGTCTCAATATGTGTATTCGGCTACTTAAACTTGCGCTGCAGGCCTCCATAAGCACAGCGTTTCCTCTGAGGGGATTCAACCAGAAAGGGCGAAAGACACATTCTATGTGAAGATGTCCCCACACGAGCACATGCACTGCCAATCCCATTGATCTAAACATGTGCCACAGTTGTTGTGAATCCAGTGAACACAACCCCCCCCCCCCGGTGGATTCGCCTATCGAGGTCTCGGGCATCAGTGTAGTCAACATATGCCAGAGGCTGCACATACCTCGGCTCTAAAAATCCAAGACAAGTGTGCAAAATAAGACATGTGCAAGGAATAGATCTTTGTCTCTCTCTCTCTCTCTATACTGATGTGTGTATACACGTATGTTATATATCTGAAGCTACATCTATGCATGTATCATGTATGTATGTATGTATTTGTGTCATATGCATGTTCTAGTGGAATACGCTGATTGTGAACTCCTTGGGCAAGGCTGCTGTGTTTCACACAAAGGGCCCCGGGTGCTTCCTTCGGTCGTGAGTGTTCGATGGTCCGATCGACAATGCATCCCAACACACTTGCCACACACTTGCCACAGCCAAGTTTTCACCAAACTGGTGTGTGTATACATAAGACATGACACACTAGACAAATATGGATATTGGCATGAACTCAAAATATTCGTAAACGTATCATATGTGATATATGAAATATATGCAATACATGTAATATATGTAATACATGTACTTATATGTAATATATGTAATATGTACATCCACAGTCAACCCCCCAGCTGGGAATTCTTCTCCGCGGCACTGGCGCAAGGAAGGCCAGCGCATCGCCTCCAGAGCCTCGGCCTGAAGCTTGCGGTCCCTATGATTCAACCATGACCCCTACCAAGGGACACTCACTTGGCTGTGGGTCAAAAATAAGTAGCAGAAAAGCAATCCTGGTAAATGGAACCATGGACTAAAACATGCGGTCCCTGGTGGTTCAATTTTGAGCCATGACGCGGAGCCGCGGGGGTGCAAAACCGGGCGCCTACGGCAGCCTAGGCGGCAACAAGAGCCTACTCGGAGTGCCCCGAACTTTTCGCGGGCGCCACTCTCAAGTCATAACAACAAGCGAGCTCGTGTAAGGTAAAACACGGCTACGTGAACCTGCCTACGCAGGATTCGCTTGAACAACCTATTCGGACTGCCTACGCGAATCGCTTCCCCCCCCCAGAGTTGCCTACGCGGTGCCTCCACAACATAAAAGGAGTTCCCCCCGAGCGCTAAGCGAATACTTTGCAAAAGCAACTCTGCTCACTTGAATCAGTCAAAGGTGAGGTTTATGATCCAGAAAAAATGGCAATATAGAGGGAATCTTGAGTTGTTGACCATGAAAGCCAAGGGAAACCAACCCCCACTCGGACTATAGCTGCCCGCGCATGCAGCGGACAAGCCCAAGAGGAAACCCGTGTAGGGACCCTTTCTGCACTCTCCTCACCTCATGGTTTGGATCGTTCAGACCATATCCCATGACGTGATCCCTGCTTACTCCCATGGCTGCGGGTGCCTGAAGCCTTTCATCGAACCATTCAACAGACTTGTTCTTGTGCAACCTGCAGGCGCCTGGCTGGACAGCGTGCCAGTGCCGGCACGGCAGCTTCCCGTAATCGGCCTAACGACGGAGGTGGCAACGATCGAGCGAACAGCTGCCTGGGATGTGAATTGCTGGTTGTGAGCTCTTGGATGGAGTCTTGCCTCAAGAACCAACATAGATCACGCTCAATGTGGTTGGGTTGACAAGCACAGGATAAGAAACTTACATCAACGATCACCGCAATAGGATCATGATGGAGCTGTGTGAACCAAGCTCCGGACTCGACGGGAACATTGTCCCAGTATGGCTCGTGCTGCAGGCGCCTCAGCCATGTCTTTACAGGCACGCAGGTATGTCTGGGGGGAAAGTAAGCTTTTGGAGTTGTTTGGATCAATCGGCCGCACCTCCACTATTGTCAAAATGGAATAAAAAAACAAAACGACATCTCCAGAACCCGACCTCCAAAGTTCCAAACGTGGCGCATGAGATGCCAACCAAAAAGGGAAGGTCAACTTGCAAGTGAGCTGGTGGAGTGAGATTCCCTTTTGCTTTGCGGTTGGATGTCTGTTGGCTTGATTGCATAAATTATCCAAACATGATATCCCGAATTTGAGACCGCCTTAGGCATTTCACACTCCGACGACACACATTCCAAGCTGCACATCAGGCGCATCAACAAATTGTACTCTTCTCCGTTGCTGTCCCTCGGGGGTTCTGGGAGCTAGACCCTGTGATACCAAAAACCTCTATGGCTACTGCATCACTTCGAAGAGAATTTCCCTGGTCTAAACAAATTCTGAAAGAGTCGACATTTAGTTTAGGAATGTGCTTTGTTTTATTGTTTTTCCCGTCTTGGCCAGTAAATGTTCCTATGTTACAGCATTTTCTCACGAAGTACGTATTTCACAATAGGCCGTCAACATTTTAAACATCCCCAGCATGACCAGCAGGTCATGGAACGGGGCAGGTTTCAGGTAGGCAACAGGTCTAGTTGGCTCGGCAAGCATGTTGTGCGTGTGCTTCTATGCATGTATGTAATGTGTGTAATGTATGTAATGTATGTCATGTGTGTCATGTATGTAATGTATGTGACGTGTGTAATGTATGTATGCATGTCATGTATGTAAGCTATGCAATGTATGCAATGTATGTAATAAATGTTATGTGCGTGGCGTGTGTAATGTACGTAATGTATGTAATGTATGTAATGTATGTGATGTGTGTAGTGTGTGTGTATAATGTGTGTATGTATGTAATGTAGGGGATGTGTGTGATGTATGCCATGTATGTCATGTGCGTAATGTATGTAATGTATGTAATGTGTGTAATGTGTGTGAGGTATGTAATGTATGTGATGTATGTAATGCATGTAATGTGTGTAATGTGTGTGTAATGTATGTAATGTATGCAATGTGTGCAATGTGTGTGATATATGTAATGTGTGTAATGTATGTCATGTATGTAACGTGCGAAATGTATATAATGTATGTAATGTATGTAATGTTTGCAATGTATGTAATGTACGTAATGTATGTAATGTGCGCAATGCATGTGATGTATCTAATGTGTCTATTGTAATGTATCTATTGTAATGTGCGTATGTATGTATGTATGTATGTATGTATGTATCTATGCATGCATGCATGCGTGCATGCATGTATGTGTGTGTGTTCAAAATAAGCTAGGGGGCACCCCCCATGATGTTCGAAGAAGCGAATATTCAACAAATGGCGCGTTAATCTCTGTAAAAGAAATATATAAACCAGCGGGGGGATGGGGGGGGTGGGGGGGGGGGTGGGGGGGGTGGGGGCGGGCGGGTGAGTCCCACTGCCAAAATATCAAATCCCTGAAATGAACCGATACCTAGAATCTGGATCTATTCCGGAGAGCCCAATGTCAATACTGATGGATTGATCTTGGAAAAGGTCTGGTAGATTGTGATTACGGTCCACTGTAGCACCTTTGTATCACGGATGCAATGGCTCAGTGAGCTATGTACATCGAGTGTGTGACATGAAAGGCCTTGAGCCAAAATGGTGTTGCGTGGAGATCAATGAGTCCGAAAAACAAACACAAAACAGACACAAATTAGAATTGGCTTCTGATAACATATATCTCTTGTCAGAATGAAAATGCTATATTCATCCCTTTTCGGCGCGGGTGAAATGTCTTTGTTGGCAAATGGAAAAGAAAACTCTGTACTCATTGCGGATGCCTAATTGTGTCAAAAGATGATGCACACTGCTACGCACCTGCAGGATCGGTGTGAAACTATTGATCTCTCACTGAATAGTCTTGTTGGTGGTGAGGATCAATTGGTCGGTATTCATGGCGCCGTTCTCGGTTGTTCTCTCATTCGAGCTTCTGAAAGCGTCTCATCGCTTCGATGGATGGTTGCTGGTTTCCGATTGGCTGTAGCAGTCACAGTCATGCCAGGTCGAAGAACCTAGCCCTTCCATCCTTGTTGGTCATAGCCATAAGCCTTGTTGTATCGCCAGGAACTTCCCCAAGTGTTCTCCTTCTTCCTCTGGTTGAATGTCTTGGCTCTCTGAGTATCGCGTTCCTTGCTTTCGGATCGGCTTCGGGAATAGACCATGAGCGGGCTGTGTGAATCGGAATCACATGGGCCATTCTGAAACATTTCGTTGGTAGTGCTTGAAGCCTCTGCGGATGTGACATAATGATGAGTGAGGTGTTGTCCTGCATGGTCTTCTTCTCATCGGTCAATCTCTGATTTCCGGAATCGATGTTGGATGTCTGTCTTCCCCCCATCCAAATACGAATGTCATCATGCATCCCCATTGTCGCGTTCCATGTGTCTTGGTATGTCTGCGTGATGTGGTTCATCAGTCCGTATTCAGGATTGTAGACCCACTGCAATCTGCTGTACGTGTTAGCGGATCTGTTGGCCTTGCCGGTGATTGCATTGCATTGGTACGTAGTCACGGGTGGCATGATTCCATTCTGAAAATCATCTCTGGCTGCTCCATGAGTGATGTTCGGATGGATGTGGAAGACCCCTATGGTAGCATGTGGAAGTCCGGCTCGAAGAATGTGTCGACCGTCGAAGTCAGCATTCGGAGCCTTGATTGACTTTGGCAATGCTTCTCGGAATTCATTGCTTTGGTCGATCTTATGTCTGGATGGTAGTGCGAGGAGGTCATCTCTGGCCGACATACTACTTGAGGTTCTCCTTGGACATGTGAGGTCCGGTCGTTGCCAGCAGTCGTTGGGATCTTGTCGAGATGTGTCTTGCTAAGAGCTTGACTCTGGCGTGCTCATTGCCACGGACAGAACATGCGATGGGTCTTGCAGACCAGGATTTGATCACAATGCCCTTGTATCCTGAAAGGATAAACAAACGGCTGAGTTCCTTGCATTTTTCGTCTTGGGGATAGAGATATGCGTCCGCTTCATTGAGGCATATGATGCGAGCACTGTTGCGCAGCAACATTCGTGCGATCGGTCTGTCTCGCATGGGCGTGCCTTTCAACTCTCTGCCGTCCAACTTCGGATTCCTGGTGAGGTTCCCATGATTCATCGTGAGAATGTTGATGGTCATGGAGGAGTGGCAGTCTCATGCTTGGAACTTGTCCAGCGCTGACCCTTCAGTTGCTTGCATCAAGGATTCGAGGATGTCCGTATAGGCCTTGAGCACAGTGGGATCGTCTTGTGTCTTGAGAGATTTCAGTCCAAGTGGCAGTCGAATCGGATATCCGGATGCTGGTTGTGCAGCTCTGTACTCTTCCATGGGTGGCTTGTCGGTGCGGCGCCGAAAGTAGAACACTTCTTAATCAACGTGTGCGTCAGGATCAGCGTGCTTCAAAAAATCAATCTCCATTGGTTGAGGTCTTTATGAACATTCTTAGGATCCTGTTCATACCTTTGCTTGAAGTCCTTGAAGCTCTCTTTGGTGATCTTGAGTTCTTCTTCCTTTACAGTTTTACTAGGTAGACCTGCTGGAATTCCGCATTGAATTCGGCGAGATTGTCAGGATAGATGTGCTCCGTCGTGACCCTGCGCTTGACGGCCCCTTTTTTTCCGGCGGGTTCCATTCTCGATTCATCATCATCGTCCCTGTCAGTGGAACGCCGTCTTTTCTTGGTCTCGGTGGATGCGTTCTTCTGAGATTGGTCCTTGTCGGATTTGTTAGCATTGACATGAGCGAAGAAATCCTGTGCAAATTCTTGGGTCTTGGTTACATACTGTTCCCGATCTTCTTGTCCAGGTTCTCTTCATGATCCAGTAGTTGGTCTGCGTTTCCTGTCCTTCGGAATCGAACGCCGCAATAATGTTAGAATGTTTTGTGGCCCAATCTTGGTGGTTGTTCTTGGGAAGCCAAGGATCAAGAGGGCATCTCGTCCTCCGGGCACATGTGTCAATGCTGCCTCGGATGGCTCATTGTCGAGGATCACGTCGTCAATGCTTGCGAGATGGACATGGGTTCTCCCTCGTGGGGTCGAGCTGTTCCCCGGCTGGATTCCTTCCTCCAGGATGTTGTACATCTGGTCGTTGTAGGTCGCATGGAACATAAAGGTGATTGGCTTCTTGTGGAACGGCTTAATCTTTCTCTCCTGTTCCACGGACTCAGGCGCCGGTCTCATCCTATACTTCGGCTGCGTTGCGCCTTGATCCGCATGCTGCTTGTTGGATCTTGAAGGATGGGTGCGCTCGTGGATTGTTGACGATGGGAGATCGTAGTCCGGTTCTTGTTGTTGGTAATCCTGCTGCTCGGGGAATAGTGGCCGCCCAATGGATTCAATCTCAACGGGTCGCGAATGACCACTGCAGCATCTCACATAAAGTGCCATCTCCTTGTCATTGTGGAATGCTGCTCCATCAGGTCGGAGAGCTTTGCGTGCTGCTTGGGATGTGAGGTTATCGATCCACCTGTTCTTGGGTACAATAACGCCCTTCCTTTCTCGTTCCTGATTCATAGGCCGGAAACACAAATGCGATCTCAAATCCGGATTTCCCATATTTCGGAAACATAGTCATCAAGAAAATGAAGGGCTTGTTGCCCTGGAAATTCCTTGCATGGCTGATATGCCTCGAAGAGCTCGCAGGATGCGTCAGGATTGACTCGGATGTCTCTTTTGAGCGCTCTGGCGCTTCTCTCCTTTGGATCATGTCGTAGACATCGGGAAAACAATCGGCTCAATCTCTCACTTTTTTCAGAGGATGAAGTGGACAATCTGCTGTGCCTGGGATTCATCAAGGGAGAAGTACCTGCAGATGAATTCTGCATTCGTGATGGTCCTTCTCATGTCGATCTGCTTGTTGTGGCATACCATCGGAATTGGGATGATATGGGTTCCGTAAT